ACTTTGCTGCCGCCGCGGCCCTCGACGTAGACCGCCCAGCAGACCTGGCCGCCCCCCGCGCACCAGTCCGCCCTCTTCCTGCCGTTCGCCCTTGGCGCGACCTCGTTTCAATAGCCATCTAAAGCGGTTACAACATGCACGACCCGCGGTTTCGGAATGCTCAACATTTTGTTGCCTCACAAAATGACTGGTGAACGTGTGTGTACATGCAGTTGTTTCGACACATGCTCGACTGCGAGAATCGCCCAAGGCGACACCTCGAGGGGTACTGCTGTTGTGGCAACAAGCTCACCAACCACGTCCGTCACACACCATTGATGTGTGTGGTTCCGGCATATACCCTGTCTGCGTGGATCGCTCCTCAAGCGACAACCCTGGTGCGTAATGCTGTTAACAACAAGCCTACCAACCACATGCGACACACACTATTTATGTGTGTGGTTCCGGCCACAGGTACTCTGTATTTATGCGTGAATCGCTCCTCGAGCAACAACCTTGATAAGTAGCGCTGTTTAACAAACAAGCCTACCCACCACGGCCGCCACACACTATCTATGTGTGTGGTCCCGGCATTTATGCCCTCTCTACACAAGCGTGAATTGCCTCGCAGGCAACAACCCCGGTAAATGGCACAGTTGGAACAACGAGCCCCCGCCCACGGCCGCCACACACTATTTATGTGTGTGGTCCCGGCATGTGTACTCTGTATTTATGCGTGAATCGCTCCTCGAGCAACAACCTTGGTAAGTAGCGCTGTTTAACAAACAAGCCTACCCACCACGGCCGCCACACACTATTTATGTGTGTGGTTCCGGCATGTGTACTCTGTATTTATGCGTGAATCGCTCCTCGAGCAACAACCTTGGTAAGTAGCGCTGTTTAACAAACAAGCCTACCCACCACGGCCGCCACACACTATTGATGTGTGTGGTCCCGGCATTCATGCCCTCTGTGCACAAGCGTGAATTGCCTCTCGAGCAACAACCTTGGTGAGTAGCGCTGTTGGAACAACAAGCCCACCCACCACGGCCGCCACACACTATTGATGTGTGTGGTCCCGGCATATGTACTCTGTATTTATTCGTGGATCGCTCCTCGAGCAACAACCCTGGTAAGTAGCGCTGTTTAACAAACAAGTCACCCACCACGGCCGCCACCCACTATCTATGTGTGTGGTCCCGGCATATGTACTCTGTATTTATGCGTGAATTGCTCCTTGAGCAACAACCCTGGTAAGTAGCGATGTTTAACAAACAAGCCTGCCACCCACGGCCGCCACCACTCTGGATGTGTGTGGATCCGGTACAGTATGTGCACTCTGTATGTACGCGCCACACCCTATGTATGCGTGTGGTTCCGGCATGGATCTCGGTGTCGTGAATTATATGTGGCACTATTGATAATCAAACGTTTCCACCATCACAGCCGCCGCGCACTATTTGTGTGTGTGGACCCTGCATTACTGTAACTCTATTTCGTAATGCCTGTGGAGCGTAGGGTAATTGCCCGAGTTTAACATCCCTTACTAGGTATGTATCACTGTTGACAATCGCTCCCCCCCTCCCTTACCACCGCCGCCAAACACTTTTTATGTGTTTTGGTTCCGGCAGATTTGTATCTGCGTGAATTGCGCTAGACGACAACCCTGGTAAGCGGCGCGTATCTGAGACCAAATGTGAACCAGATGATTCCATGTTACGCATTGTACTGCTACTCAGAGCCTCTGTGAGTCGGATTCATGACTTCCAGCATAATGCATATGCATGTTGTATGCACATCCACAACGACCATCAATTGGTTTTACCAAACAGCAATTGGTTTGTATACGTGCGCTGCTGGGCTGTGATCATTTCATGCATGCAATTATGTCGTATGCCAGATGATCCGTATATCTCAGCTGATATGTCTCGGCATGGTATCAGTACACAGCAGCCCATCATCCAGCATGCCGCACCGAACCAAGGACCCTGGTGATACAGTAGCGTACTTTGAACAAGTAAACAACCAAAAAAACAATTGTTTCCATGTGTTGCCTCGTGATATTTCGGTGTGTTGCCCTCGTAATTGACATCCATCTCAGCTTGCATGCACTGTGCCGTGTATCCGCGACCATCTCTGCGCCGTAATGGCTACGTGCCTGCGAGGACACCGGTCGCGTTTTGTACGTCAGCTGGCGAATTGGCGTGTGCCTCCATGTATGCACCCATGCTCAAATTAAAATTCCCGCCGCCTGCGATCACCCCAGCAACCCAACGGCAGAGGTGGAACAATCGCGACTGGATCGCTACCAGTATTACACCCAACGTGCATCGGATCCTATCGACCCACACATATCGACCCACTCGTACCGTTCAGTGGTGTGCACACGCGTCGGTACTCCCGGCGTTCCTCTAGCACCGCGATGGAGCAGCGCTCTCCCTCGTACAACTGCTGCTGCTGTTGGGCGGCCCTCTCGGGTCCCCACGGCTCGCTGATTGAAAGACCAAACTTGTTTGCCGCTCCTCCAGCTGGCAAACCACTCGAAGCCCTCACAGTGTCCACCTCGCTCCTTGTCTCTGCGTTGCTCTCTCTAGACTAGTCCTCGTAAGACTTTGTGTGAACACCTAGCTTCGATAGAGTGCCGAGGTGGTGGCTACTCCCCTGCTCCCGCTTGGGAGGGGACCCCGTATTTCCGTAGCAATTTATGCATACCCTAACAACGACGTTACAAATTCGACTACTTTCAATAAACCTTGATTTGTTTCCGTCTGCTCCTACAACAAATCTCCCCTTTACTGTTCTCCTCTTGTCGGGCCTTCCATGTGCAACATAGGTGTTTGTGATAGCCCAGCATTGGGGAGATGGATACTTCCATTTCCTGGTAGAAAGCCTACCCCGGATTACGGTCATGCTGGACATCCTTCGGGGAAACCCCGACATCAAGGTAGTTTCGTTGGTGTTCTGACATGGATTCATTAGCAGAATTGTGCACGTGAGATATCAATTCCCCCCTCACGCATGCAAGCGATGCCTTGCGCTCAACAGCTATGTATTTTCCCGGTTGCGGATAAACGACAGCTGGAAAATTCAGTAGTGAGTGGTTAGTGTGACGGCATAGCTGGCCGGAAACAACGGTTTTGTTGTGCACTGGTCATACGGTCGGTCATGTTGATTGGGGCACACATACGATTCAGTGGCAAGTGTGGTTGTATGGGGCAAGGAAGTGTATTGAGCTTGATAGTTGAGCTTGAAAACAACGAGCTGTCCTCGACAAAATTCTGTTGACAATTCTAGAATGCTAGAGTTGTCCAACGTTAAACACAGATGAATTCCAGGATGTCCGGAGTCCTGAACAACATGTCGTCGTGATTTTACCACTGTATGAGTGGATTTTCTGGGCTCGCTGACGTCGCGTCCTTACCACCTTCGGCTAAACCTGCCGTTCATTACTTAACGTAGCTTGACCTCTTGCCTTCGCGATGAGTTTTCGATTCCACTATCTACGGAGATCGACATAGGTCAGGCACTGAATTGTACGTGGTGTTATTGCTAGCGTTTCGAGCGAAATTGAAACAGGAACGGATATGATATGATCCCCGAATGTCTTGTCTCACCGCGACCCATCGCTTGTCAACCGTGGTTTTCTGCTGAGGGGGCGGAAGATTGCAGTGCATGCCCCAAACAAGAACCACCAAAGCCGCAGAGGATACATGAACCAGTTCATGGAGCTGCTTGGGGTGGACAGAAGCCGTCTCGTGTTTGTTCAAAATGAGGTTCGTTCAGGGATCCCTATGACGAGCGGCTGCGTTTAGGAAATAAAACGACACGACCTTCGTGATGCGCCGTGTACTCATAGGTGCAACGTGGTAGACTTTTCGGATGTCAAACATGGAATACAGAGACAGCGTAGTTCACCTGAGATCTGGCACAGGGTGGTGGTAGTGTAGTACCGCGTGAGCTGCTTCGTGCCCACCAGCACTACAACAAGATGTCATACAGTTATCCTTGAAGCGTTTGACAAGCGACGGGTTGATGTACCTTGCCTTGAAGCCGAATGCCGCTAACAGCTGCTGGGTGTGTTTCAAGACCGTTCTCAATTTCCCATATTCAAGATTATATTTCTGTACAAAAGTGCCTTGCTGATTTGGAGAGAGACAGACAGAGAGAGAGAGAGAGAGATCAGGGAATATTTTCCGTCGGAGATAAATATCAGAATGGGATGGCGATAACGCAACATCGAATCAAGCACATCGGTTTTGAAATCCATTCACTAGTCCTATTGAAGAGAACAGAGCTAGTTTCTCTGCGAAACCAGGACGAAGTGGATGGAGCCTTGTTCGGGCACACCAGATAGTGTCCCGACCAGAAAAGCTCGAAACGCAATGTACTTCTCCGGTTAATCCGCGAGGCGGGGTAGTAGTTTCTGTGGATATGCGTCCAATCAATGATAGATGACAAACCTCTACATGCTCGAACTATCCCCGCATTTCCTATCCCCACGTTGTCCATTTGGGTCTCGATACTGGTTAGCTCTGTGTCAGCGGTAACCAACGTCGATAGTCACAGTACTGACGCAATGAGGCAGAGGTGGGGATTATCAAGGTACTTTCTACCTCCCCGCCGCCTCGTCGTGGTCGTGACATTTTTCTACGTCTGTGAACGCGTTTTCGGCGGTATTCCTCTTCCAGATTCATGCGGATCTCGCTATTCTCCCCAGCTCAACAGCATGCGGCAGCCCAGACACCCAATTGGTTAACATG